GGGTTACTGACAAGCAAGAAAAAAATGAGAGTCAGGATCAGAAAGACGTAACATTAAAAATAAATATAAAGAGAGATCATTGAGGAAGAAATGATAAAGTAACAAACTGGGTAAATATAGAAAGGAGGAGGGGAGAGGGAGAATTTCTGTGCTGGAGACACCCTTCTGGGGCAAGACTTGCTTCAGTAGGGCTTTGGTGCTCACTGAGTCTGCCCCCTGAGTGTGTCCCTTATGGATCTGAGGAGTTGTAATCTGGATGGTCCCACTCTGACCACTGGGTACATTGTCTCTTGGATCTCTAAGGATGTGCTAATTTAGCCTTTGCCTGAGACTACCCAGCAGGAGCTACGAAGAGATCTGCAGATTCCCCCTTCCTTGTTTGGGGTTTGGAGTTGCCCAAATGAGGCCCAGCTGTGAAGCAATGCAAGCTTCTGTGGGGCCTTGGGCCTTCTCTTGGAAGTTCTGGGTCTGTCTGACCCAGCTGCAGTTTGTTAGGTAATTTTCAGATTGCAAAGGGCCAGGGCATTCATATGCAAAAGCCTCTGCCCCAGCTTGGGTGGGGCGGGGTCTCATGGAATAAACAGGGCGGAGCAAGCAGCTATGGCTGATCCTCAGCCCTGCCCTAAGGGGCCCCGAGTCTCAGTGTCCCAGTAATTGCTGCAAGCACCTTTGAGAGAAAGTCGCCCTCGAATTCCGAGTTCTGCTCGCTGCCAGACCGTCCAGTCTCTCCCCGCACGAGTCTGGGTCCCCAGAGACTTCCCGGAACCAGAGTTCAGAGCAGTCGGGGGCTTGTGACTCACTCCCGACTCAAAAAGACAGCTGCGTCCTCAGTCGCCAGCCCTTGCCGCATGCGCCTATGTACCTCTGCACTTCCGCAGCTCCTCTGAGTCTCAGTGTGCTTTTCTCTTTCCTTCTAGTTGTAGAATTTCCACTCAGCCAGCCTTCCTGTAGTTCTGGATGATGTCCGTTTTGTCTTTTAGTTGTATTTTTGAATTTGTTGTGGGAGGCAGCAATTTCCAGTGTTTACCTATGCCGCCATCTTGGTTTCTCTCTGGATAGACTGCATTTATCCATTCATCAGTTGGTGGGCATTTGGGTTGTTTCCACTTTGGGGCTATGATAAACATTTTTGTACAGTAGGTGTTTGTGTGATCGTATATTATTTCTCTTGGAGCTCTGCCTAGGAATGGAATTGAGGGTCACATGGTAACTGTGTGTTTAACATGGTGAGGAACTGTCGTGCTGTTTTCCACAGCAGCAGCACCAGTGTACAAGGACCAAGTTTTCCAGATCTTCACCAGCACTTTCCATTTTTACAAACTATAGCCATTCTAGTGAGTGTGAAATGCTGTCTCATTTTGGTTTTGACTTGCATTTTCCTAATGTCTACTGATGTTGAGCGTCTTTTCATGTGCTTTTTGGCCATTTGTTCATCTTTTTTTAGAAATGTCTATTCAAGTTCTTGTCCATTTTTTAATTGGGTTATCTTTTTATTGTTGAGTAATAGTTCTTTACAGGTTCTAAATACTAGACTCTTATAAAAATATGATTTACAATCTTTTTTAAAATATATTTTTACTAGAGGCCCGGTGCACAAAAATTTGTGCACTTGGGGGGGGGCGTCCCTCAGCCCGGACTGTGCCCTCTCTCAGTCTGGGACCCCTCAGAGGATGACCACCTGCTGGCTTAGGCCCACTCCCCGGGTGATTGGGCCTAAGCTGGCAATCAGACATCCCTCTGGCAGCCCGGGAGCCCTTGGGGGATGTTCACTTGCCAGCGGGGAGCAGGCCTAAGCTGCAGTCGGACATCCTTAGCGCTGCTGAGGAGGCAGGAGAGGCTCCCACCACCACCGCTGTACTGGCAGCCATCAGCCAGGCTTGTGGCTGAGCAGAGCTCCCCCTGTGGGAACGCACTGACCACCAGGGGGCAGCTCCTGCATTGAGTGTCTGCCCCCCTGGTGGTCAGTGTGTGTCATAGTGACCAGTCATTCCCAGTCGTTCTACTGTTAGGGACAGTTTGCATATTACCCTTTCATTATATAGGATAGAGGCCTGGTGCATGGGTGGGGGTCACGCTGGAGTGCCTGGCCACCCTGGGTGAGGGGCTGATGGCTGTTTGCAGCTGGTCACACCCCCTTCAGGGTGGGGTCCCCATTGGGGTGCCTGGCCAGCCTGGGTGAGGGTCTGATGGCTGTTTTCAGGCTGGTCAAGCCCCACCCCCCACCCCCAGTGGGGACCCTCACCCCATGGAGGTTTGGCCAGTCTGGGTGAGGGGCTGAGGGCCGTTTTCAGGCTGGCCAAGCCCTCCCCCTCCCCCCAACTCCGGCGACGGAAGCTCCCAGCCTCTCCTTTTTTCTTTTCTTTTCTTTTTTTTTTTTTTTTTTATTCTGGGATTTATTTACCTTCTATAATTGAAACTTTGTAGCCTTGAGAGGAGCTCAGAGCCACCCAGGGCAGGCAGGAGGGAAGCTTGGCTTCCTCTATTGCCAGGGGCAACCAAGCCTCCTGCTTGCTCCAGCTCCGTGGCTGCTGGCCGCCATCTTGGTTGGGTTAATTTGCATATAGTTGCTCTGATTGGCTGGTGGGCATGGCTTAAGGCGTAGCAAAGGTACGGTCATTTTGCATGTTTTTTTTTTTTTTTTGAAAGATCTCACATTTATTACTGAATCAACCTTCTATTCCAGGAGGAAAAAATCAACAGAGCAAAATCACAAGTTCATTAATCTTCCAATTAAAATGCCCCAACTGTCCAGACAGTAGCATCTTTTCAATCATTTAAGGGTGTAGGCAACCTGGATACAGCATAAATGTGAGTCATCTCGCATGTGTGATTTCTCATAGGCCCAGTTTGGTTCTTCTCCAATGTCTCCTCTTCGAGTTGTACCTGATTTTATTACCAGTTTTCATCCGAATCCATTGGGGAATGGGCCGATTCTGCTTTTGTTTCTTGGCCAGGAACCTCTTGATCCTGAAAGTCTTGTGGGAAGACATGGTGAGGGAGAGGCAAACGCGCGCACCTCGATGGCGGAGAAAGAGATTGGCTTCAGAGAGGAAGGGAGAAGGAGACAGAGATAGAAGCATCAATGATGAGAGAGAATCATTGATCGGCTGCCTCCTGCATGTCCCCTACTGGGGTTCGAGCCCACAACCTGGCCATGTACCCTTGACTGGAATCGAACCTGGGACCCTTCAGTCTGCAGGCTGACTCTCTATCCACTGAGCCAAACCAGCTAGGGCTGGCCAGTCACTTTCTACGTTTTAATTTGTTATATTAGAAATACTCCTGCCTAGTAGCATCTTATACATACCTTTGCACGGTTTCCCAGGCGTCTTCTTGGACTAAATTCCTGGACTTAGTATTATATTTGTCTGGTCATATTGGCATGTTAGCCTAGACCTAGATTATAGTAAACGAGTGGAAATCTTTCTGTTTCTCTCAAATAAAGGCATTAATTTCCTTGCTATTCAGGAGCCCTGTAAAGAGACAGGTCTCCCCCTCTCCTGAGGTTGGCATAGGGCAGCCTGTGGAAAGCGGGCACGGGGAGGGCACACAGCATTGGCCTGTGGGGGTTCCATTTTGGCTGCTGGGATGTACAGGGTGGGAGGAAAAGAGAAGTAGAGGTACTTCCTGGGGCCTGCCCCTTGCCTGGAGGACAAGGCACGATGGGAGGCGCCCGCCGGCACAGGACTCTGGCCTAGTTACTCTCACCCATGGGCTCTTCCCTGAGTCCCCCCATGACCCTTTGCCTCCCACAGCCCAAAGACCTCCCTGGGTCTGGAGTGGCGGCATCCTTTCCCCTGTCAGACAATTTCAGCTCTGTGCCCAGGTCCTGGGCAGGCGAGTGGAGTCTCAAATTAGGCACACGTGGTGGCCTGTTGGCTGCTTTTGAGTGTCCTGGTTCATGCTCTGATCTCCTCATGCAGGCTGGGCCCCCTTGGGCATAGGTGTCTACCCAGGATGAGTGGACAGATCTACAGTCAGTCCCCCCACTCCCTACCCTCCACCCCGTGTCTGGCTCCATGTGCACTTGCAGGAGTGCTGGCCTGGCCTATTCTCGGTGTCTCTTCTCCCGCAGGCATTTGGACAGGTGCACACGAACCACAGGAAGGTGGCCGCGGATGGTGAGAGCCGGGAGGAGAGTCTGATCCAGGAGTCGGCCTCCAAGGAGCAGTACTATGAGCGGAAGGTGCTGGAGCTGCAGACGGAGCTGAAGCAGCTGCGCAACGTGCTCACCAATGCTCAGTCGGAGGGCGAGCGCCTGGCCTCGGTGGCACAGGAGCTGAAGGAGGTACCTCGGGCTGGGCACGGGCAGGCTGCTCCCTGGTGAGGAGGCAGCCCCGGAGTGCGCCGGGGTGGGGGTGCGGCCACAGGCCCAGTTGTCCCATCAGCTCAGCCCCAGCCTCATGTGGTTCAGCCAGTAAGTGTCCTGGCTCTGCTTGAGCTGTGCATCCTGGTCTCAGGACAGCTCATTCCTCAGATGAAAGTGGGACTAGAGCGTCCCTGCCATCTTGTGACGAAGAAGTCAGAAGGGGTCACTGCAGATGGCACCCAGGACCAAGCTCGACCCTGATAGGACCTGGCCGTGAGAGGCGTGGCTGAGTGGAAAGCGGAGGGCAAGTGGCCAGTGGCCTCCGAGGCAAGTGGCAAGGTGGGCCACTGACTTCTAAACAGAGCTGGACAGGGACGCGGGTCAGCTGGGAGTCTGAGCTGCAGCCCTACCTGTGGCCGTGGGCCTCCTCAGAGCCCCAGGTGCTCAGGAAGAGCAAAGGGCTTGTCTGGGCCGCCGAGAGGCCCAGACTGTTTCCTGGGAGGGTAGTGACAGGCAGGCATACAGCTCTTAGACATGAGGGTCGCACAGGATTCAGAGGGAACACTGGCAAAGTTTGGGACAGAACCCAGGGCCAGCCTCAATGACCTCTGACCCAAATGAACCAGCCCTTCCCCCTCTGGTTCATGTGCGTCCGAGGGCTTTGCGGCCTGTGAGCCTAGGAGCTTGGCTGAGATCTGGAGGTGGGCAGCCCTGGCGGCCTGGAACTGGAGTGTGTGACCCCATTTCCTCCCACAGGATGGCCCTGGTCCAGGTGGGGGGAGGGGCTGTTAGGGTGGGAAATGGACCTCTTCAGGCCCGAGTTCATTCTGCCTCCTCCCTCTTCCAGAGGCGCCTCTCCTGGGCTGTGAGGAGAGTGCTGGGACCTGCTGACTCCTGGCTTTGGGTGCCAGGAAGGGAGCTCAGCCAGTCCCACAGGTCTGGTGGGGCCGGGATCCCTGCTCTTCCTGTCAGTGCTTCAGGAGAAAGCCTGCCGATCCCCACACACCCTCAGCCGCCTCTTTCTCCCGAGGCACATCCTTATCCCCGAAGTCTCTGTGGGGCAGGCCACGTGGAGCCGTCTGGTTCCTGGTGGGGAGGAAGCTCCCTCCTGCCACCAGCTTGGACCAAGTCCTGGTCAGTCCCTTCCATTGCTAGCTCCATTCGTATCCTGCTCCCAGGCCTCCCCGGCTCCCAGCCCTCCCCTGCTCCCAGGCCT